ACTCTCGCACTTAATAGTAAATCGTTACTCTGTATAATTAGAAGTTTTCATCTGGTTAGCAGGTTTTCTTCTTTTTAGTGATAGTTTCTTTTGGATTTTTAGGTTAGTTTTTTATATTCCTTAGTATTAGTATTCATTTTCTTTGATATATTTATTTTTATTATATACTCTTTTTTTCATTCTCTATTATCCTCTTTTTTTTTCTTTTTTTCTTCTTTATAAGAACATCAGTAAAATTCGCACTTTTTTAAAATCTTGTGCAATATTGCGTGTCAATTGTAAATATTACGTAATATTACGATTTTAAAATTTGCTGATGAAAGTGTTATCAGTTTGGTGATATTCTATTGTAAAGCAGGAATCTTGATAGGGCGAGCAACAGCCAGCCGAAGAATCTGGAGGAAATAAGTCCGGAGTGAGTTTCAGATCTCTGAAAGAGGCTAAGTATTGCTAGGCAAGTCGTATCTGGGCAAAACACAGCAGTTTAATGGTTCACCCTGACTGCAAGTAGATATTTTAACATTTGTAAGGTACGCCATAGGTGAGTTTACTCTTTGGTTAGAATACTATAGATTTAGATTTCTTCATATGCTAATGTAGAAATAAAAGTCTGTTCTCATAATAAAGTAAACAGGATTGCCAAAGGAAAAAAAAAATAACAAAGTTTTATCAAATCTTTTTTTTTATTAGATCTGAAGTAAATTTAGTTAGGGTTTATTTCTGAGGTTGTTGTTTTTATTATATATAATCATATATACAGTGGTGACAGAAAATTATGACAATCACATAATGTAGCACAATGTACTCAAATTTTATTAAAATTTCATAAAATTTTGATTACAGCTAGATCAAAATATACATTCAACTATCTAGTAGTTAATGGTGTATCCACTCTGCTCAATAACCTGATTTAGATGCTGATGCATAGAATCAACTAAATTAAAGCACAAATTATTATCAATTCGATACTATTCCTCCTTAATTATTAATATAAAAAGCTCATTAGAAATGGTTTCATTTGCTTGAACCAAGAAGAATACTCTTCTTTTAACCCTTTTTTTCATAATTGCCTAAAGATTCTCAATCGGGTTGAGATCTGAAGAAGAGAAAAGCCAATCGAGAACTTTTGGACACCGAGCATGCAATAAAGCCTTTGTTGCTTTAGCAGTATGTTTAGGATCATTATCTTGTTAGAACGTCTAATTGTCTTCTAGAACTTCATATGCTTGGTTAAATAAATAGTTTGTCAAAATTTCACGATATCGTTCACTATTCATAATACCCGTAAATGCATGAAAATCAACAATTTCTCTTTCACAAAATGTACTTTAAACATAAACCTTAAATGAATGTTTAACAACCGCCCACCTTGGTCTTGGTTTACCTTCTTTATACCAAACCTGAAGTATATTTCAGAACATTTAGAAGGTCGACTCATCAGAAAAAATAGTGGTATTCTACCTTCTTTTTTGATATTTGCATACCCAAGCAACCCAACAGATCATAGTTTGTTTTTTAAGAAGAAAAACAGGACAGGAAACTGCAATATGATAACCAAGTTTCTGAAGGTTCCCTCTAACCATTCTTGATGTAATACTAAGATCAGGATAAGTATTGTTAAGGGCTTCAGCTAGTACTTTACTTGACGCAACTCTGTTTTTTGTCGTGATTCTGCCAAGGTACCTTCTTTTTTCAGCATCAAGAAGTTTTGGATATCCTGGATATTCACCATTCTTGATATTATCAGTTTCATCAAGTTGTTTGACCTATCTATACAAAGTTTTAATAGGGTATCTAGTCAATTTATACAACTTTGGAACATTTTTATTTCTGTGTTTTCAAAGAAACTTAACTAAAGTATGTCGTTTTTCAAGCAAAGTTATTGTGAGAAATTGTAACGTCACAAATTGCTATTTTTAATTGTTAAAATGTGTAACTCATGATTTCTAACCATATTTAATATTTGTGTAACAAAACTTAAAATCTTATCACATGATTTCTAAAAAAATCAAATTGTTATAATTTTCTACCACTACTGTAATTGATTAGTTTTATATAATCTAGATTAGTATAAATTATATAATATTTGTGTTTTTGATTAGCTAATAAGCAAGAGATATATGTCTTCTTATAGGAGATATATCTCTTATAAGAGATGTCTAAAATCAACTTTTTATAATTACTATTTTGTATTTTGAAAATATAACTATAAATAATTTAAATATATTTCTAAAAATTAAAAAAAATAATTATATATATAAATTTTTAATAAATATTTAATAAAAAAAATTAATTTTATTTTAAAATAATTATTTATATTTATTAAAACTCTTTTTGATAATCTCTTGATCAACAATAACAAATTAAACTATAGCAAAATAATATAAAAAAGCAACAAATTAAATTATAAAAACTTACTTTTTAAAAGTAAAGCAGTTTGTTGTTAATAAAGTTTAAGCAATAGCATAATATACTAAGAAATAGATATTAAAAGACAGTTTTTCTTAAGATTAAGTTTTCTTCTGACTTCAATGTTAGGATTAATATTAACTTCAACATTGAAGTCAATATAAATTAATATTAAAGTTAATATTATATTAATTGATAATCTACAAGCCAACAGAACAAAACATATAGTATAATATGACTCAGATTACTATATAAATTATATATATCTCGAATGCTATGATCACTTAAAGAAAACTTTTTTTTATTAAGCTAATTGATCTTTTATATTATAAGAAAGTTGTAAAGCTCATTAAGACGCATCTAATGGTGATTAGATCATCCAAATTAGTCTAGTGAATGTTAAAATATCATTAAAAAACATGTTAAACTATGTAAAATTTTTATAGAAACTATATATTATAGCAAAAATATATAGAATTATATATAAATTTTGTTGCGATAATGTTTTTTCCCTTATATATAAACTTAAATTAAATTTTATAAATAAATACATCAAGAAGAGAAGAATAAAATGCTTTTAAAGTTGAATTAAAATTTTGCAATTTTTGTATAATTTAAAAATGTAACTTTGTCAAAAAAAATTTAACAGTTTTAAAATAATAAATATATTTTAAATAACTTTTAGTTAGGAAGTAAAAAAGGTTATATTAGTAAAAAAAAGTTTCTATATATTAATGTTAAAATTTTCAGTTTTTCTATGTAAAACCTTTTTTTGCTTAGATAAACTGTTCTGACCTCTTAAGCAAATTTGTTCAACACACAATTTTACATACTTTATATTTTGCTAATTTTGTTTTTAAACATTTTACTAAGTGAAAGATTAGATCAAAGGTTATATAAAAAATTTTTTAAAAAATTTTTATTTTTGATCCAATCTTTCACTTAGTAAAATGTTTAAAAAAACAAAATTAGTAAGATATAAAGTATATAGAATTGTGTGTTGAACAAATTTGCTTAAGAAATCAGAACAGATTATCTAAGCAAAAAAAAAAGTTTTATATATAAAAACTGAAAATTTTGACATTAGTATATAGAAAACTTTTTTTTTATTAATATAACCTTTTTTACTTTCTAAGGAGGCTTTTAGAAATTATATAATTTTTGGTTACTAATAAATTTCAAAATTTTACTTCACCTACTCACACATGATATTTTATTAACCAATTAAATTTTATATAGATTTTTTAAAATTTATTTATATATTCTAATTTTTAAAATTGATAAACTTTTGATTTACTGGTTTATTTTATATAATTTAACTACCAAAATACTCATCATAATAAAATAATTCTAACAAGCCCAAAATCATTAAAATCTAATCATAGAGTCCCAAGATAATTCAACTTTTGTGTAATTTTAATAGTGATTTTTTAGAATTATTTAGTAAATTTTTTTAAAAATGAATAACTTTTTATCTATTAATTTGTTTTAGATAATTTAACTACTAAAATGTTTATTTTAGTAAAATAATTC